TCATAAAAACTACAAATCCCAAAATTCCATAAGATGCATCTAGAAAAGCTAAAGTGGAATCATAGCATTACGATGGATGTCTAGGTGAAAGGAGGACATTGGTATTTAGGGGCAGAGCTTAGCATCTTTTACATGTATTCCCTGCACTCATTCTGCAGTGATGAGGGTGGTTTCAATATCTTGCAATGCAAAACCTGAAATATAGGCCTGAAATATAGGCCAAACCTGAAATATAGGCCAGTTCCAAAGATTGCTTGACATCAGAGGAAAGTAGGGCTTTATAGGCAGCCATTTTTCACAAAGACACTTGTTGGCTGTGATCTACAGAATTAGTATTAGTAAGGATAGAATAGTTGGATAAAATGTCCAATTTAGGTTGGCTATTTTATCTATTTATGTCTGGAATTAGAAGGAAAACAGTTTCTGACTATTAGCAAAGAATATTATGTTTATTAATTTGAATCCAAACTATCTAATAAGGTTGCCAGGTCAAAAGTGTCCCAGGTGCTCAGATTTCAAGGATGAAAACCTGCAACAAAGGGATGACAACTTATCAAGTCACAGGAAGCAGCTCCCAGTGATGCCATTATATATCAACCATAGTTGCATGGAATGTAGCATTAAAATTGAAAACAAGTAAGCAAACTAGGAATATACACATGGTCTGTTCAAGATATTGCTTCCTCCTGAAATTCCCCATCCTGTAGAAGAGTGTCCAGGCACTAATGTTATTGAAAAATTGGACCCCAAATTATAAATTATATGAATTGTGATTCATGGCTCCATTCAGACATGCAGTGAGTGTGCGCACCTCTGCCCTATAGCAACCCACTCGTAAATTGTTTTTGAAATGTTATCTAACACATCATGGACCCCAGGAAACAATCCTTCAAATTATTATAATCCTCTCGCAATGCACTGGGAGACATGAGGGGAACACACAACAGACTTGCATCAGAGCCCGGTGTCCTTCTCCCATCTCCATTTGATATGATCTGGAAATGTCTCCTTCTTCCATGCCCTCAGCCAGATCAGCCCTTTTGACACCCATTGAAATGATCATCGCTCTAAAGCACCGTTTTTTTTAATTATCTCAGACTAACTTTATTGTACTCACCAGAGCAAGGACATTAAGCTCATTATCAATTGCAAAACTGCATTCTTTTCCAAACATGCCCCTCCCAGGGGCAGATCGATGAATGGACAGGCACTTCAAAATAATCAAATGGCAGTTTATTAAAGTTTCTTGCCAAAACAAGAGCTAACCAGGTATAACATTGGAGGGAATCCCATACCAACCACTGGACAGATCCTAGCTGGACACTTCCTGGACCAAGCAGGAGCTAATGTGAGTCTTGAATAGCTGTAAAAATATAATAAATATGTTTTGTATTCACAATTGTGGTATGTCAGTTCTTTGGAGTTCACCAGATATTGGATAGCAACTCAAGAGCTATTCACCACTGGCCGTTAGCTGGTACTGTAAGCGCTACAGTTCAACATGATTTCCATCCTTGTCCTAGCAAGACAACCCACTGCAGATGTCAAAGCAGAGGAAGAGTCTGGGAACAGGGGAAGAAAGAATGGTGTGGGGTGATTGTTGGCTCAGGGACCATTAACCAAATCTAAGCAAAGACCTTTTTCTAACTGCTTGCCAAAGCACTGCTGTAGGCTGGCTGGCTAACAAAACTGGGTTGGAAAAACTGATTTTGCTGTTAGATGAAGCATTCCATTAGTTCTCTGAACTGGCTGAATTATTATCTGTTGTATCTAGCCAACTCATTTGAGTTATCCAAATGCAAGCCTTTTCTTGTGCACGTGAGGAATGTGCAGTGACTCAGTTGTCAGGAAGAATCAGCCAACAAATTTCTTCCAAGTGAATATAGCAAAGGCACCCCCCCCCCCCCCACCCAAATCTGCACTGCTGCAAAGTGTTGTTTGGATGGTAAGTGCATGTATATGATGAGCTGTTAAATGTTCCAGACTTTCCTGGACATCCAACCCCTTCATTCTTGCCTATAGCAGCTTAAGAGAAAAAGGAGAAAGAAGAATTGCATTCAGAAAATCATCAAGCTTGTTACTGTGTTCACTTTTTAAAAGAGTTAAATGGCTATTAGGCACAATAGCTAATGGCTACCCCTGACCAGCGCAAGAGGACACACCTTTTGAAATATCCAAAATTAGAGACATATAAATAGGAATAATAATTTTTTCTTCTCTTTATAGAATGTCCAGATTTAACAGCCTGGCCACAGATTAAATTAGTGTCTTGGGTCAGACTGTTCAAATCCAATCCAATTTCATAAAGAACCTATTTTTCTCTCATTTATACATATCCACAGAGAGAACATGACACTCTGCCCAACCTCTCATATTTTGAGCAATTTATGTTGTACTAATCCAGAAAGTATTATTCTGGGTGTCATTTGTTTGTTCAGTCACTTCCGACTCTCCGTGACCTCATGGACCACGCTAGAGCTCTCTGTTGGCTGTGGCCAACTCCAGCTCCTTCAAAGTCAAACCAGTCACTTCAAGGATTCCATCCATCCATCCATCTTGCCCTTGGTCGGCCCCTCTTCCTTTTTCCTTCCATTTCCCCCAGCATCATTGTCTACTCCAAGCTTTCCTGTCTTCTCATTATGTGACCAAATTACTTCTTCTTTGCCTCTAATATCCTTCCCTCCAGTGAGCAGTCAGGCTTTATTTCCTGGAGTATGGACTGGTTTGATCTTCTTCCATCCAAGGCATTCTCAGGATTTTCCTCCAGCATTACAGTTCAAAAATGTCTATCTTCCTTCGCTTAGCCTTCCTTATGATCCAGCTTTTGCATCCATAGGTTACTACGGGGAATACCATTGCTTTAACTATGTGGATCTTTATTGCCAGTGTGATATCTCTACTCTTCACTATTTTATCAAGATTGGTCATTGCTCTCCCCCCAAGAAGCAAACATCTTCTGATTTCCTGGCTGCAGTCTGCATCTGCAGTCATCTTCACACCTAGAAATACAATGTCTGTCATTGCCTCCACATTTTCTCCCTCTATTTGCCAGTTAGTAATCAGTCTTGTTGCCATAATCTTGGTTTTTTTTTATGTTTAACTGCAACCCAGCTTTTCCACTTTCTTCTTTCACCTTGGTTAAAAGGTTTTTAAGCTATTAAAGACCTTTAAGGTATTTCTGACATATAGTGACATATCAAAGCATTTTCTTGGCAAGATGTGTTCTGTGCGGGGGTTTGACACTGTTTCCCCTGTGGCTAACAGACTGTGGTTTGATCAAGGTCACCCAGTAGGCTTCCATGGCTGAGTGGAGATTCAAACCCAGGTCTTCCAATTTCTTAATCCAGCACTCAAAGTATTATACAAAGCTGGCTTCAACTTAATAGCTCTTTACATCTGAAAAATGTGTGTGGCCTCTGCATATTCTTATTTCTATTGTTACAGAACATCTTGAAATGGCAGACAGTGTTCCCACATTAATACCATTCATGTTTTCCACCAAACACACTACCCACTCCACCATGTCCTGCCACAGTATTACCTTTCACTTTATGCCAAAAGAATAAGGTATTGTAGTAGTGGTGGTGATCTGGGCAGGTCCTATATAACGAGTTGTAGCAAAGACATCCATCCTTTAAATTCTATTTCTGTATCTTGTATCTGGTTATACAGAACACTTGCTGCATTCTTGAACTATGTAAGCATACATTTTGAGGCAGTTAAAATATTTGCAGATCCCTCACATCAGATACCCTGAGAAGCAAATTTAGGAGAAGCATCCCTCCAAACGTTTTCATGTGACAAGCTTAGAAAGGAGAATCTTAGAAGTCAGCTGCATGAAAACTGAGGGCAAAGGGTTATAGCTTAGGCATGGATAGGCAAGAAATTTTACTCTTGGTTTTAGCCACCAACACTACCAATCACATACCTAAAGTACCTTCAGACCTCCTATACTGCACTGATTTCATGTTCCTTCAGTCACACAATGGCCTTCAGTCTGGACCTGGAGGCAGGCTCATCATCTCATGCATCCTGATTTGGGGGGGGGGGGGGGGGACAAGCGGGTTGGCCTCTTTCCCCTCATTGTTTGTGCCTTGACTCCCATGAGGGGAAGCATCTCATTTCCCAGCCCCAACTAAATTGGCAGGATGGGGTGTTTCTTCCTGCTTGTTTTTTTTTTTTTAGTATCTCAGGGACACAACAAAGAAAGTCAACCCATCCCAGCATCTGAGAACAGAAAGCCTGAAATCCACCTTTCACTGAGGATAAAATGGTGCAGTGGATACAGTCAAGGCTAAGCTACTAACTAAAACTTGCTCTAAGTACAGCGGCACTCCTTGTAAAGAATGCAGGTCTGAAGGCACTCCAACATCTCCTGGTGAATCCTATTCTTTGATTCAATGAGGGAAGTGGGAATAGTCTGGACCTTCCTCTAACACATGAGACAGGCCCCTAGACCAACAACAGCTATGCTGAATCCTCAAGTCTTCTTAAAATGAAATTGCTAGCTCAACACAATGCAGCGTTTGATTTTACTTTACAGACAGGGATCTTTTCTAAACTGACATATAGCAAAGGAAAACCATCTGCAATAGGCCTTTGGTATACGCAAGCGTTTTGCTCCCATACCTCCACTGATACCAAAATCCATGGATGCTCAAGTCTCATTAAATACAAGTGAACTGTAAAATGGTGTTCCTTATATAAAATATTAAAATCAAAGTTTACTTTATGCATTTTTGGACAAAAATTCAAGCCATTTGAATCTGTGGCTATGGAGAGCCAACTATATTTCTCTCTGGATTGGCCCAAACACATGATTGCTATTGCATCTCTGATCTCCTACAGCAATAACCAAGAATAACCAGGTTTGGTTCTGGGTTCCTCGTTCTCTTTTAAACTACGATATACAAGTCTGTGTCAAGAGAATCAGAAGGAAACAGTAGTGGCTAGAACAAAAGAAAGTACACATCCTCCCAAAATACACATGCAACTGTAACTTAGTAGTGTCAATATATTTTATCTTGAAGATGCTTTACATGTCGAATACAAAAATATTCCCCAAGGAGGACATGGTACCCAACCTACCCAAAGGCTTCCGGGGCCAAAACGAAGGAAAGTGGCCAAGGCTTGGCAAAAGTCTGGCCCTTTCTGAGGTTTGCAACATGGGTTGCAGAGGGCAACGAGGCTCCACATCCTCTCTTAGATTAGTGTCTTAGAGATACAGTAGGTGAACTACAGTTGTAAAGTGAAAGAGTGAATGGACCCCCTCCGCTCCCAGGGGTAAGCAGCTGCTGCCTGAACTACAGTACTGGGACACAGCCCAGGGTAGAGGCTCAGTGTCTGGGAGTGTGTGTGCAGGTCAGTCAGTGAGAGGATATAAATAATTTAACAGACAGAGATTTACAGACATTAACTGGGAGGTAGGTCAGTATGACAATAGGGACAGATTAGTTAACACAGGCATTGACAAGGACACCAAGCCCAACTTTAGACAGTAAGAGAACCTCCCTGCTGCTGCTGCTGCTGCTGCTTCTGCTCTTGGGAAATGCCTCCAAATCCTGATGCAAAACACTTTGAGAAGAACAACTCCCTAAAACCCATTCGGGAAAGGACAAGCTACAGAGGGGGAAATGCCACTGGTTTAAGAGGGTGAGCTCTGGATCATCCCCTGAGATTCATATGGAGCAGCCTTTGCACCACCACACAGCATGAGTTGCCTGAGGCTAGAAACCCCTAAATTCAGTTGAGGGGGTAGTAACTGGAAACCATGCCTGGGTCTGGGAGAGTGAAAGAGTTGGATACCATTTAGATGGCAGGAAAAACCAGACACAGCTAGACTGAGGGAAAACAGCTGTGCCTGGGTGCAAAGCCTTGGTTCAAACCTGCCATGTGTAACTGTTGGCTGTGTTGTGGCATGCAGCCCTATCCAGGTCAAAGGACACTGGCGAATAATAATCAAAATTGATCCCAGTTCAGTGGCTGATGACAGAACAGGGAAATGATGAAGTACTCACAAACTCTGCCAGTTACAGAGTGGGTCCAATAGCTATAATTCAAGTGGAAACTCTCACATTTAGTTGCACAGCTCTTATACATAAAAGAGGGGAGCACTTTTATGGGAAAGAGAAAAGCATATTTTTACCCTCAGGTGTTTTTTTTTAATGACTGCTAGTTTTTGAAAAGAATCATGATATCTGATGTCCAAAGCCTAAGAAAGCTGTAAGGGTCAAAGGGAGATGAAATAAGTGAGATGCTCCCTAAAGGCAGAATGAAGACACTTCCTAAAGGCAAACTGAGGAAGAAGGGAAGACAGGGAGAATCATCCTGACTAGAGAATTAAGTCCAAAGTGAGAGAACAAATTTTCTAATACATATCACGTACCAAAACGAACTAGAGGGCTAGCAGAGGATGCTTATGCAGGAAGAAAAGCCATGGAGTGTACTCACTTAGGACTCAGTTCTCTCAAGAATTGATATGCAAGACTAGCATGTTTGTTGAGCCCACCTGCCCCACTTATTCAGTGTGCCAGAAGTCAAGCCAACTCCTTCCCCATCTATATCTCCCATGGGATGATTTGAGATTCCACAGAATATTTTTTATCAGGATTAGAAATCCACATTACACACTAATTCAATATAAATTGAGAATTGGGTTTAGCAGTCCATCTCTGGGAACCATGAGAGCTGTGCTGATAAGGAAACTGACAACATAGACATTCAGCTGACTGTACTCAGGGCTGAAGGAGCCTGCACCCCCTTCAGGGATGGCAAGGTGTCAGGAAACAGCAGCAGATTCCAGTCCCAGTTCATATTATATAGTAATAACTGATGTGGGTTATTTATTGCTCTTATTCTCCAGCCCCTATGGAGAAAAGGCAGGAGGTCTTGCATCAAGAGGAGGGAAGAGTGGTGTGCCAGGCCCACCAGTGGCCTGCTCAATGGTCCTGCCCGCAGGGTCCAGCAGAGCGCAGAGTCCTAGTAGCGCCCAACCTTGGCATCCCCAATGGCTCCCCAGACATCAAAGACAAACTCATCAGGGAAAGCAAAGTCGCCCAGTTGCTCATCCAGTGCCTCAGCAAACTCATCAGGATTCCGCTTGTCCTTGCCCAGCTCCACCATGGTAGCAGCTATGCAGGAAAGGAAGCAGAGATCATAATTAATTCTGCCCCCAGATCTATTCCCAACAATTACTCTGCCTTGTCTAAATCCTAGCTTGCAGACACCGGGAAAACCTCACATTCGTTTCCATTTGTAAGAAACAGAAAAGGAAGCAGAAGGAAGCTCTGCAGACCAAAGAAAAATTCCACTTCTCATGGGGCTGATTCTAACTAGGTTATCCACAGTCTCTTTACAATTTTAGTGGTTTAGTGTTCAGGAGAAAGAGAGAAGGAAGCAGCAACTCACCTAGTTCTGTGTCACGGATGCCCATATAGCTCTCCAAAAGGTCATCGACCTTCTCAATGGCCTTTTCCTCGAAGGCAGATGGCTGTGAAAAGGAATTAACAACTACAGTTAGAAAAGCTGTAAAGGACTGATCTAATGCAAAGGAAAATGGCTGTAGTAAAACTGAAACAAATGTCTGTGGGTGTATTTTAGAGTGAGGCAAACATATTGGGCTGGTAACCAAGTGGAGCTCAGCATCCTGATAAACAATGTGATGAAAGCGAGGAAGGGTTCAGATCTAAAGGTCCCTAAAGATTGGCTTGACATTCTGTCACTGTTATTAATTCCATATACTCAATGCCTCTTTATGCTCAATATAGTTTCCCTCTCCTCTACTTCAATGCCATGTGAAGGTGTTTGGAGAAGATGTAGGATACGAAGTGACGGTGAGAGGTAGCAAAAGAAAGGCATGCTTCTTTTCACTTACAATCAGTATCGAGCAATGATTCAGAGGAAGGAGATTATATTGTCAGCCATCCATCTCATCAGAGGATTCAGATTTGTGGTCATCTGCTCTATTTATTTACTATATATATAATTACCCCACTCTATCTCACCCTGAAGGGGACTCAGAGTGGCTCTACTCATGAATCCCTAGTCCTTGAGCAGGGTTATCTAGCTTTGTCAAGATTCCCACCTGTTCCTCCACAGTGGCTGGTCCTTTGGCCCGAAGTCGCAGCGTTCCTCTCCCTGTGCCAAGCTGAGCACCTGCATTGTGTTTGCCTGCTGTAGACCGCTGACTGATCATATCTGGAACACAAAAAGAAAAGGGTCTCTTGAGTTCTTGACTCTCTTACACACTGGTGGCCCTGGGCTAAAAACAAGGCCCAACAGGGGTTATTTAACCTTCTATGTCCAATTGCTGTATGGGAAAAGGGTCCTTCGTCTTACCTGGCCAGTTGTAGGCTAGTTATATATACATAGTTTTCTACTTTTAAAATGTCACTGCTAGCTCATATTATGGTGAATTAAAGTAGCATATCCAAAGAATGATGGATGAATTTGTTCATTCAGATTTGTTTAGGATTAACACATAGATTACATAGTCATGAGTATTGGCCAGGACCAGACTATTTCACTATCATTCAAGACTAAACTTTTTAATACCAATGCCTTTTTATTAAACCACAGATATATGACTTTAATAATGATGATTTTGTTTCCGAAGATGAACTGGGAAGAATCACATTGACAAAAAGAGGATAAATTCTTTTATGGCTAGTAACTTATTAAATTTGGACTGAAAACTTACACTAATAACATGTTTTTTTTAAAACAACAACAACAACAACAACTGTTTAGAGCATGAATAAGTGGTTGCTTCTCAAAATAGAGGGAGGTAAACAATCTGATCCTCCTGATTTGTTTTTTTTAAAATTTGTTCATAAGCAATCTGTAGTAAGGAGTGAACAGTGAGGAAGTTGACTTTGCCAATGATGCTCAACTATTCAGAGTAGTTAAACTACAAATGGATTACGAAGACCTCTAAAAAGATGTTTTGAAACTATGAGAAACTTGGTTCACCATGACCAAGTATAATGAAACAGACAAGGGCAAATAAAATCAAATCTGAATTCCATACCCACACTACCAGTATGCCAGTTCCTAACCAAGAAAAAGCCCATGAGGTTGTGGAAGACCCCAATTAATGTGTCATTCTATGTTGACCTGTGTCAACCTACAAATTATGGTGAAGGCCACCTCACAGAGATGTTGCTCCCAATATTTACTCATTTCAGGCTGCTCTTTTCTGGACCTTATTTATTAAAAGCATGCACAGTATTTTTCTTTATTGCCCATGTCATTACTTGTTAATATAGGTACCAAATTTCTGTGTGGTCACAACAGTAGTTTATCTTAGAAAGAATAAGGGAAAATATGATACAGGTAGTACAGAAATACACACAGTGTCAAGGAAGTGGATGGGGAAAGCTCTGCTCTCTCTTTCATAGGCTGAATTTTTGAGTCCAATGAAAGGAAGTATATTTTCACATAACAATTAAGTTTGGAAACTGTAACCACCAGTTGTAGCAATCAGTATCAATGTGGAGAGCTAAAAAGATGTTTAGACAAACTCTTGACGAACAAGACTAAAGGTGTCTATGAGTAATGATAGATATATATTATCTATAGTAACAGAAGTGTTATGTCTCTGAATATCAGTTGATGGGAGAAAGAATGGGAAGCACTCACTGCTCTTATGTCCTATTCATGGGCTTCACATAAGAAACTGATTGGTCACTAGGTGAACAGAATGCTAGGCCAGATAGCAAAAATATATTCAGGATAGGATGTATAGCTGGGATAGGACATGGATCTCTATTTAAAAAAAGGGGTGGGGGAAGGACCAAAACAGAATAAGACAAATTTTGTCTGCCATGATAACAGTCCTGTTAGGACATAATTCCCACAATTGAAGAGGGAAGGTGGAAAGTAACGAGGAATAATGAGCAGGTTTCGGAAAGCTATTTCTGTAAGGTTTTTAGTGCAGGGCTTTTAATGTGTCTGAAACAAAAAAAACCCTTTGATTCTCATATCCACAGGTCAATTTTTTCTACTTCCATCCTAAAACTTAGAAACAGAAAGCTATATTTTTCCCAGCAGTAACCACATGCTAGCAGATGCTTTTTTTATGCAGCCATTCCTAGTACACATCTTCTTTTCCACAGAAAGCATACTTCTCCAGTATTTTTAAAAATCTACGTGCTTTTCAGTGTATTGTTAAGTTCAGCTGAAAAACTAATAGGAGGCACTGGGGAGATGTTTTCTTTTTTCCTTTTTTGTGGGGGGACGGGGGGGGGACACGGACTAGCAGTTTTTCTTTGATGATCAACGCAAGGGGACCCATGGCTTGCCAAGAGGTCAACCCCTGTAAGTTCCAAGAAAGCAGAAAGGGAGTAAAAGCCAAGAGTACAGGACAGCAACCATGAATTAGGACCAGAAATTATTTCCATATGCAGAACAGAAAAAAGTGGTTTCGAAAGAAGCCAGCTGCATCAACAGCAAAGTGTTACAAGGTGAGAATAGAAACAAGGGGCACGAACTTACAACTTTCACTCTTCAATTATTTTACTAATCAAGGCAAACCTTTTCAAAAAGTTGGATGGAGGACAGAGCTCTATTGGGTAGATTGGACATTGGGGGGAGGCACATTGTTCCTTACAAGGAAACAAGTTGCACAGAGTTTGCACAAGGGGCTCAAGTGCCTTCCTGCTATATTGCCAAATTTTACTGCACATAAACCCTGCTGAAGGGTGGGAATCAGGCAATTTTCCAGATGTTGTTGGTCTGTAATTGTCATGAATCCACACCAGTGGAGCTAATGGAGAGGAAGGGTGGAAACTGAACACAGCTGTAAAGATGCATGATCACTGCTATCCTATGGGAAGGTTTGTGAATTCATAACACACAAGTTAACAAGATTTCTAGGAGCATGGATAGGAAAAATGCAAGCATATTTCCAACAGTTATTTCTTCATTTGCGAGATGCCATAGCAATTATGAAAACTCTTCGCTTACTTTCTCTGAACATGTTTGTGTGCTGAAACTATCAGCCAAAATGTCTTAATTGCCTCTCTCATTTCCTCAATTCTGCAACTTGTTTGGGTCTTTGCTGTTCTCACTAGTTTGTGCAGGTTAGTAGGGGCCTGTGTCTTATGTATGTAAATATCTCATATGACAGCTGAACACACGGCTGATCTGCATGTGTTTTCCGCCCACTGTGTCTTCTATTATATTACTTGTAAAACTTATTTTCTGACTTGGAGGCAGTCTGCAGTAAAGGAAGTTTTTCTGGTAAACCACAAGGTCAGTTGCAGCACTCTTGGCACTTGAAAGAGATAGGTGCACGGTGTTCTTTTCGTATGAGTTATACTGAAGATTTGCAAGATGCTCTTCTGTAGTCATGTTTATTTCAGACTCCAAATATTTGCTCACTAAACACTGTTGAAAATATACAGACAGAGACGCTCTAATAATTAGGATTTTTTTCAATGGTCTAGTATTAATATAGCATGTCAGGTTATATCTTCATGTGGTATGTGATAGCAGAATTAAAGTATTTATGAAGCTTCCGCTATTATCAAAAACTATTTAATATGTTTATATTACTCTTATGTTAAAAAGTATGTATACATGTGAAGACAAGGCACTATTTCAAGAAATCTGCAGACTGCAGACACTCTTTTTAAGCTGCCAGGCTCCCAAACCATAGCAGTTGTTCAGATTATACCCTAACTCCCCATCAAACTATTTAGTCAGAATGGCTCAATGGCTCACATAGCATGAATGAAAATTTACCTACCCATAAAATTAGAATACTATTACATACAATTCTTCTTCTGAAGATAACTCAAAAGTTCTGAAGAAAAAGAATCATGCAAACACACCCTTGGTGCATACCAAAATAGCATTTTTTTTCTAGTTTCACTTATAGCAAAGTCAGCTATCTCTTCAAAGTACTTTGCTCATCATCTGTCTTCCTGAAGTAGAATACCCTTTTCTATTTATTTGCTGAATTTCTTTCAAGTTTGTAGAAACTCAAAGTTCTATAAGATGCTATTGCTGTGTGTCTTCGAGTCATTTCTAATTTATTGTGAATCCCATGGCTATAAGGTATTCAAATCCTGGTCTCTAAAGTCAAATCACTGCACTACATTAGTTTTGCTATAACATACAATCCCTTTAAAGCTTAAGAGGAAAATGATTAATCCAAGTACCAAAACAAAGAAGACAGAGAAATTCATCTGTTTTCTCCAATATAGTCTTCCCAAAGCCTTTGACTTCAACTTTCCCAATCTCACAACCAGCCTGAAAGATACCAGGTTGGTGAAGTCTATTCAGAGACATCAACTGGGAATACCTACAGTGTTTCTTCAACAATTTGTGGGAAGGCAAAAACAGCAGATGGGGAACAATTGTGTTGCACAGTCACCATCAGTTTCTTAATAGTAATGTACAGCTAAGAAGCAAAAACCACGGTCAAGTTGTTGATTTTTTTTAAAGTGCATTTTTTGTATTTTTGGTATCCCCCCCCCCCCTCCATTTGAATAAATTCAAAAATCCTATCCAAGAAACTAGGAATGCACACTAGTTCAGGTCAACACTTTAAAAGATTTCTTTTATCACAATGTAAATGTGCAATGACTCTAGGGCAACTTTGAGAAAGGAATCAGGCCCACTGCTGAGACTTTTGTATTTGCCCTATTCTTTGAAGAAAAATATATAACGTCATCTAATTTGTGGGAGGCAGCCCCTACTGTGTGGTCTTGGAAAAAGAATCAGCAGGTTAAAACCCTGGGTTGTGATTAGAAAAACACATTATACTAGGAATGTAGCTGAGGCATCAGCACTTTATCATGGTGTTTCAAAAACTATTTTGTTGGACAGCTTATGAGACAGATGGGATCCCTAAAGCAAGTACAGACATTCAACTAAGCACAGTCAGAAAATGCCAAATAAATGTCCAAGGGAAGTTGGATAAAACTTCACGAGTACCTTCAATGCTCTGGGATATAAACAGGCCTGTTAAACTATGTTGAACTTATTTTTAATATCAGAAAGAGCAAGCCTATATCTGAATGACAGGCTAAGTTCTCACTCTATTTACACTTTTCCTCAGACTTCCACAAGAATGTAGGAAACTGCTCCATACCTAATCAGACCAAGGGCAGACAAACTGATGGCCTGCATGAATCATAGTCCCTGAAAACTCATGCAGTCTCTGAACACTGGTATGTTTCTGAGGCTTA